GTGTGTGTGTGTGTGTGTGTGTGTGTGTGTGTGTGTGTGTGTGATAAACATCAGTCTCCGTTTCAAAGAGAGAGTTTTAGTTTCGCAGTGACGACCGTTATTATGTAACACTTTCATGGAGGAAATACTGAAACCTCATTTGTTCCAGAGAGTCAGTGAGTCAGTCTGTTCCTCAAACACTGCTGGACAAAGTTCTGTTAAAGTTATATTCAGGGTCAACCAGGGGTTGCAAAATAAAGCTGAGGGGTCGTGAGATGATGAACAGGGCAAGAAAATACCCCCCGCCGAACTGCATGCTGGATACAGCTCGCTCTCCATCGCCATCCTTTTGTTTTTGTCTCCTGTCACATTTTACTCTCTGAGGTCTTGATTCTCTCTACAAAATAAAAGCTCCTCTGTGGAAACAGAACCATCGTGACTAGAAGTAGAGAGAACTCGAACATGTCTTTAGTGCAGAACAACACGTTGGTTTGTTTAAAGGGATCACAAGCCGACAAGGTCGGGAACCACCGTCTGATGAACTCGGCAGCCTCCAGGTGGCGCTAGAGGGATATTCAAAGAACTCTATTAGATCTAAAGTAAAAAATTGAAAACAATTAAAAAAGGAAGAAACTGTTGTGCAACGTCACAGTAAAATATGTTTTTTAAAACTCATATGACAGCATGTGAAACACAATGTGATGGATCATGCTTTTTACAAACATTCAGTCAGCAGCTAAAAAGCCACAGGTTTGACCTCCGCTAATGTCCTGCTGAGGTGTGTGTGTGTGTGTGTGTGTGTGTGTGTGTGTGTGTGTGTGTGTGTTCACATGCTGCTGGGAAAATCTGACGTCTGAGTGTTTGTTATTTACTGAACTCTTTTGGAGCGAATGAGGAGAACGAGGTTTCGGTCTTTTCATCTCGCTGTCCAAAAGAAAACAAATAATATTATTTCCCAAAATCCTGAACGATTCCTTTAAACTCTGAAACTAGCTCAGTGTTATCAAACGGTTTAACATAACACATATATCAAACGGTTTTTATTTACAGAAGCCCAGAGGGGACAAACATGCTGTTATTGACATAACAAGCTTTAATAATTATTGCTTGATCACTAAACTTACTGTACGTTATTTAAAATGTTTTGATAGCTGATATGACAACCTCGTTTCTTATAATCACAAAATAATATTGTTTTTTATCCCAACAAAACAAACTCGTGAAAGTGACGAGGAAATACTATTTTAAAAGTCCTGTTAACCCACGACTCGTCCTCTTCTCTGTACCACCTGACTCTGAATGTGACATCTCTAATAATACGTCCTTATTTATAGACGGTTATCTCACAGGCGGCATATTTCCTTCTCTCAGGGAGAAGAAGAACATTTCTGTTCTTTCATTTCTGCAGCTGGGAATTTCTGGAATGAATTTAAAACAAACACTCTCGTGTCTCATCTCACTCAGTGCAGAACTTACACTTCACCTTCAGAAAAATACCAGAGAATCTTTCTAGTTTTGCTTTTTCTTTCTTCAGACGGTGCTTCACTTAGACTGCACCTCTGTAGTGGAAGTGATGTAATCAGAGTGAGACAGAAACTGGTGAGCAGATGCTGAAAATATGACCACGATCTTCCTGTGGACAGCACCAGTGGAGGACCAAAAAGCACATGTACATTCCCAAAAGTATTCTCTGTTGCTTTGAGCTTCGTGTGAATCAAGAAAAACACACAAAAAACACAATTATCTGACTTTTAAAGCGTGTCGCATTTTCTCTGATCAAAACCAAAACACATTTAAAAGAAAGACTTCAAACTGAAACCAAAACTGCAGCCACAGTAAAAGTAAAAGTAGACCTGTGTTGACATGTTTTGCATTTTCATAACATTCATCACGTGCATGTCACACCAGTCACCAGTCACACTGGTCCACACCCAGTTCACTGGTGCACATCTCAAATACACTCCTGCTGTGTTACTGAGGAACTGTGACGCCGACATGCAAACAAAACAAACGTCACCTGGGCTGTATAACAAATAACTGCATGTATTTAATCTCCTTGTACCACCTTGGCATAAAGCTGATGGAAAAGGTTAAAATCAGCATTCATTCCAAACTTATTAAAAGTGTCTTTGTTAGTCTTTCCTCTGTTCCAACAATCACCAACTCTGGTTTAAGAGTTTGAAAGAGAGACGGAAGAAGTGGCAGATATGAATAAAAAAGAAGTAGTAACCACCTCCACATTTTCACTGTTTATTAACACAAATCAAATTTGGGCCACTTTTGCCTGCAGTCTGAAAGTATAGCCGTAGATTTATCATCATTATCAATTCATCTCTGGGTTTTTTCGTCCATAAACAATTATTGTTTAGTTTATAAAATGTCAGAAAACAGTGAAAAGAAGTCAATTACAATTCCCCAGAGCACAATGTGACGTCTTCAAAGACATTACATTTATCATTTTGTTAAATACAGAAAACTTGACTTACTGTGATTTTGTCCTTTACTCAAAGCACTCGTCTTATCGACACTAGATTATAAATAACAAACAGGAGATTCCCGTCACATCCAGCTGGTCTGATTAGAGTTGTTTTCCAACACACAGGATTCAATGATCTTTTGTTTTCTCTCTTGAGGGCGGTGAAGGTTTTGGCGGCCTGTCGGGCAGTGATGGCGACCCCGGAGAAGATGTGAGTTGATTAGAGTTCTGTCTGCCATCCGTAGTCCCCCCCCACTGCTACAAACCTGTGTTCAAACTCCTGTTGTTTGTCCTCCTCAGGGTCCCGTAGGAGTCCCGGGTGTGATGGGAGATCCTGGACAGTTTGGAATCAAGGTAACAAACATAAAGGCTCAACGCTGCGGAGACACATACATATAGTACTTTGTTAATCCACATGAGAAGTTACATTAATACTTTTATTGATGTTTAGCTCAGTTTGGCCCTAAAAGAAATCAGTGGCAACTCATAACGCTCTCATCTTAAAGGGCAGTAGCGATGTTTAGACCTGTGGTTTGGACAGATTTTAGACACCTAAAAGAATCAATATCAGCTTAAGTGTACACTATATTTAGAGTGTTTTCACCGCTTTCTCTTGCTTTTGTGATACTGTGTGATTGTTCTTAATACAAACAATACATTCTTGCAGAATGAGTGATGACAGCATCTCATGTCCGTCCAAACATCTGTTGTTTCCTATTTTGAGGCGAGTTCCTTCACGTCCTGCCGGATCACAAGTTCAATCGTTACAGAAACATACAACTAATAGCTCGTCCTTTTTTCACAGAAGACATTTTGACATGTCACAGTGGAAAAAGCACACACGTAAATAATACAAATAAATGTAGGATTTTCCGGGTCAAAATGTGAGCTTTAAAATAGACATTTGAATAAAACAAACTGTCTACTCGGCGTAATAGTGTCTGTTCTTCCTCTGCAGGGCAGTAAGGGGGATCGTGGAGTGAAAGGACCTCGAGGCAGAGTGGGCGCCGGGGTGAGTGAACTCTACAAGTCACAGGTTTGATTCCTGACTCGTCGTTTTAAAGGTGCAACGTGTGAAACCTGAACACGTGCTCCAAACAAACAAGGGGCACAGTCAGTCTACCTCTGAGTCCATACAATCTGAATACATTCATTTAGATTTGTTGTTAATTAGTATTTTTTATGCAGCATACTCTTCGAGCACAGATGGCGTCTTGACATCTGTTGCAACACCGGCTCAAATTCAATTTCTCTCCATAATTATCTCCAGAAAACAAAACCACGTTTTCTCGAGATAAATTGTCTCGAGAAATCTGCCTTTTGTTTTTCTCCATAAGAAAGAAATAATGGACACGAATCTCCATAAATGAACCCCGTTATCGAGCTCTGTTATCTCCAGATAACAGCATTGAAAAAGAAAGAAGAAGAAGGAAATAACACGGAAGTTATTGTGTAATTCTTTCTGAAGAAGTCGGTTTTTTGGTTGTAAATCTAAAATTTCAGTTCTAGCAAATATATCTCAGGAAAAATCCCCGAGTCCAGCTGTCAGGAGGTTTAACTATTTATTTATTCATTTTCACATTGATGTGGTCAGACAAACCACAGCGAGGAGGAACAAGAAGAAGAACATCTCTGAAAGATAGAAACAAAAACAAAGAACACAGAGATCACTTCATGTCACATCTGGAGCGTCGAGAGAAGAGTTTGTCAGTTAAAAATGAAACATCTGGGAACATTTTCTGCTCATTTGTAGAACAAGTTGTTTTTACACTCCTACATGGCCTCCATCCATCAAAACAAAGACAAAAGCATGAGCATTTAACAATTACACAAACACAATAGGGATTAATGATAATAATATAGATAATAAAAGTCTATTTCTATACGGTAGAACTTTACAAAGTGCTTTACGAAGAAGAGGAAAATCAGATAATGAAGGAAAATGCAAATAAACACAAACAGTGGGATTATAAGAACAAAGGAGATCTAGATTTAAAGGAGAAGAAGCCAGTTCTAAACAACTAACTTTAGCTTTAATACAATTAATAGAAGAGTTTGAACTATTTGGACTTTGGAAATATCTGCAAAGCTGAAGTTTTACTCTCTTTTATCCGAAGCAAAACTTCTTCCGATCCAGGATTTGACCTCCTGGAGGTTCTCCTCACCAGGTTTCAACACAGATGAGATGAAGCTTTAAGAACACACACAGGGAACCTGTTGTGCAGTAGCTGCAATACAAATGGTGAAGAGTGCACATATAAAGGTCTAAAGTAACAATAAGGTGCAAATCCAAAACACATACTTATTTACAGTGCCAACATTAAGTTAATAGTAAGAGTATATATATATGTATGTATATTCTAGAAAAAAAAGCTCAGAAGAAGCATCTTTAGTAAATATAGAATAAGAGCTAATAATGAGAAGAAGGTTCATTTTATAAATGTCAAAGTGAGATTCCTCATCTGTTGAAAAGAGTCAAATCTGAAAATAAAACATTCATATTGTGAACAAACTCACAGTACACGAAGACACGTTTACTTTAACTTTGGTTATTTGACTTCTCATGAACTCTGACATTAAATAACGACAAACAGAAAAACTCCAGACTGTCTGATCATCAAACTCTACAGAAACCTTTGGTTTGTTCTTCCTCTTTCGATATTTGAGGGGTTTTCCCGGTGAAAAGTTTATAACTTCAAATGTCTTTTACTTCCAGTTCAACCTTCTTTAACTGAACCAAGTCATATCTACGTAAACACATCTAATATCTTATATATATATGTATATTTATATTTATTTATATAAATGTATATATTTATACATTTACTTTTACAAAATGTGATACTCAGCATATACCGTATGTAGATATATAGCACATTTATTTGGGGCTGAATGAATGAATAAATAATAAAGAATAATCGTATTAAACTTTATTTTTATAAAACCTCTCATACAAGCCCACAGTTCATTGCAATAGGAAAACAGAAATAGGCAGAATGAACATAAAAACAGGGATAAAATATAATAATTAATGTAAAAACATAAAATGAAATAAAATACATAGAATGCATAAGACGAGAGATGTGAAATAAAAGCCACTGAATGACAGAAATGTCAGTTGTTAAATATGTAGATTGCATATAGTGGTGGAGAATTCATGGCTGAGCGGTTTATGAGAGAAAACAGCAAAACAAAACAAAATATATGCCGGTTGAACATGAATATATTTATCATGAAGTAATCCCTTTGACTGAGTATTGTCTGTTTGTTCAACAGGGAGCTGAAGGAGAGCGAGGAGATGCCGGAGTACCAGGGGCGCTGGGATCGAAGGGCCTGCAGGGCCAGACTGTGGGTTCAACACAAACGACCTGTTATCAATATACATAACAGACTGATATCGATCTTTCATTGGATATCAGACATCACCAGTGTTTCCACTTTACACGAAGAGCGACTTTAATATGATCGTAAATCAAGTCGCACCACCTGAACCGTCACCTGAATTTCTTCCAGGGTTCCAAAGGTGAGACGGGACCCAATGGTGGCAAGGTGAGTGTTTGATGACACGCCCTTAGCTCTGCCGGCACAGTGGTCTGCGCTGTTAGAGCTGTTAGCACCGTTAGCTGCTAGCCGCCGGCTCAGCCGCCACCACGTCGAGCCGATCCTTCTGCTCACAATATCGAATCTAGAGTCAGAATCAGCTTCACTGAGCAGGTATGAGGATTCGTTCTCAATGTACTTATACTGAAATAGAAACTAACTTATAGCATTAGTTTTTAAGTTTTTTTACAATATTTTATCCCTGGTGTTCATTTTATTTAACTATTTTGATTTATTTATTTTTATTGTTTTATTGTAATTTCTAGCCTCGCGGAATTGTTTTTATGTATTGTTGCTTTTTAAATGAGTTTGATTCAGTTTTGCCCACGTTTGAATGAAAGGTGTTGTGTCAATAAAGTTGAGTTAAACAGGTTCAGACTGACGGGAGTTTCCCTTCCTCTCCTGTCAAACAGACATATTGTTTACTATAAAACAACTCTTTATTCAACCATGTAACTCGAGGAATGTTGATCTTGTGAGAAAATGACAACAACTTCCTCTTTAATCACATGTTGTTGATGTCATGTTGGTTCCCTGCAGGGTGCAGCAGGGAAGAAGGGCATTAAAGCTGTTAAAGGACAAAAGGTGACGTCATCTGTTTACAATCTGACGATGAAACTGCCTCATACCGTAATCTCCATTTCACTTCCTGTTTCCACACCTGTTTGGGTTCCACTCACTGATTAGTTTGTTCCTTCTTTGTCACCGTTCAGGGCAGCGTGGGAGACGGAGGAGACAAAGGACAGGTGCTTACTTTATTTATTTACCTCGACGTCATTCAAACACACGCACATCTAGTGCAGCTCAGCAGCACAGAAAAAGATAGAAGGCATCATGTTTTATTAAAGACTTCTATATAATTTAGGCATATTATTAAATGATAAACGTCAGGTTCATGACTTCTGTCCAAAATAAAGGTGTAGAATAAAGTTGGCCCTATAAACAGGATGTACACAGTATAAACAGTAAGCAGCTGTAAAAGAGACAATAATAAGCTGATCAAACTCTTTCATTTTCACTTCTTCGTCCTTCTGTTTTCCCCGACAGCGTGGACCAAAAGCTGCAGTCGGTCGCGGCGGCATCCCCGGCCCCGGCGGATCGGCCGGCGTCCCGGGTACCAGAGGAGAGCGCGGTGCCATCGGTGACCTCGGCGTTAAAGGCCAAGCAGGACCCAAAGGAGTTCCTGGTGCCTCTGTGAGTCACAGTTTGGGCACTTTAAAGGTGTAGACTGACCCTCACGTCAGTCTGGTCTCAGCCTCCTAAAAATGACATTTTGATTCAAAAACTAACTTTCCTTGAATTTGATACTCAATCTATGTCGAATATAAAAAGGTTTTCGTAGTATTTCATCACCGGCTTTTTCACTTTTTATCTCTTCAGTCAGAGTTCTGACTAACGCTGCAAACATTTCGTTAAGTGCAATTAAAATAGTTTTTCTTCATGGAGATTAAGTGTTCTTGGGTTCAAGTAAAGTTTACAGTCTTTTCCAGTTGTCCTATAGCTTTACATTATGCGTTTTAACATCATTTTTACAAATCACAAACATCTTTAAATGGTAGAAATAAAGCATCAGTAGTGTCCACATGTACAAGTTGATGCTTTAGTTTTTCACGTCTTATTTTATTGAATTTTAAATGATTCATTGACGTAAACTTGCTCAGCTGGGAAGGAAATTATCGTATTGAAAGATGTTTAACAAATATATAAAGCAAGTAAAACTCATCAGATGTCTCCTATTTATTTGCATATATATTCCAAAAATGTAAAACCTTATTTTAAGATTAAAGGACTTGTTAAAGTTGGTGTTTATTGTCGCCGTGATGTAGAGAAGATATAACCTGAGTGGTTTTTGTCCCGCAGGGTCCTGGTCTGACTGATGAGCAGGTCCTGCAGCTCTGCAGAGGCGTGGTCACGGCCCAGATCTCCCAGTACGCCGCCTCCATCCGGGCCAAGTGCTCCCAGGGCTGCCCCGTCAACAACCGGATCCTCATCGGACCGCCGGGGGGACAAGGGCTGTCGGGGTCACCGGGGAAATCTGTAAGTTCCTCTCTGCCGCCTCACGGCTACGATGGTGGAGACGGTTCATTGGTTCAGTTCACCAGACCTATAGAGGAGGTCTCAGTATTTGTCTGCTGCATTGTTTCAATGATCCACTTTAAAGTGGGGAAATAATTTCAGTTTTTACAAAAAAAGCCCATTTCTTAAAAACGAGCTTCATTTCAACAGATTTTTAATTGGATTAGTTTGTGTTTTTTTGGGTATTTTTGTTTATTTTCTGGCAGTGTAGGTAAAAAAAATTACAGAACCGCGACAGGGGGGCAAAATTAAAACAAAAAAAACTATGAATTTCTGAGATTAAAGTTGTAAATGTATGAGAAAATATTCGCTGAGATTAACAGTCTCAAGGCCAGTAGGCATAGCACAATGTTAAAAAAAACATCATGTCAGGATTATCCCGGCCAAATATAATCCATAATATTATCCCGATATCTTAAAAAAATATCTTAAAAACGGCAATAAAACATACTATAATTTCAGTTTTTACACAGAAAAAGCTCTGACACACACGCACGCACACACACACACACACACACACACACACACACAAACACACAGTACTAGTATGGATGAAATCCTAACAATACTCATCCCTACTGCCTTTTAAAAAACACTGTAAAACATTGGATTCAATTGTTGATCATCATCCTCCAGCACAACACACAGACGTGTGAGAATCCCGCGTTATAACGACATTAAAAGTGACCGAATTAAGGACTAATTGGACCATTTCTGCCTCCACCTATCAGGGCAAAGCAGGAAAAACCGGAGTGAAAGGAGCCAGAGGAGCTCAAGGTGACAGAGGACTGGAGGGACAGAATGGAGCGCAGGGCGACAGAGGTAACATCACACGTTCATTCTTCATGCATCCGGTTAAGCATCCGTGTCCATGAGATTATATCTGATGTAAAAAACATCGTGCAAATGAAACAGAAGGATTGTGAACGACACGTCACACGAGCAGAAGTGCTTCACTGTTGGTGTCGGGAGGAACGTTTTGATTATCTTTTATTTTTTATATTCCTGATTTTTTAGATTGTTTAGTAATTCATATGCTCAAACTACATAATAACATGTTTTAACAAATCAAACATCCATGCCTTTAAGATTGTAAATCATGCTTTCAGATGACGAATGAACAGTATTTACTCCATTTGTCTCAGATTTAATCCTGAAATATAATGTCTGTAAATAAACGTGTTTCTCGTTGTGTTCTCGTTAACGTCCTGTGGTGAAAGTGTGCAGCTGCTCACAACACCAGAACAGACAGGATGGATTTAGTTATTTATTCAAGTTGAAAAAAGAATCTGTAATCTCTAAAAGAAGAAATTTGAACACATTCATTTACTTTTTCAACCTCTAATCAACTGAAGAACATGTTTGTTCTGAATGGAGTTCTCTAGTCGCTTTGTGTTTTTCCTCAACAGGTCAAAAGGGACCTAAAGCCAGCACAGGAGATCCAGGTAAAGGTCTGACGGGACCCGACGGACCACAAGGCATCAGAGGTGCGACACTTTGTTCATCTCCACACAACCATGAACACTTTAACATCTCCTGAAGGTTGTAGAAGCTGCTGCAGACCAGATCTGAATCACGTTTCATGATTCAGCAGTTTAATTTGTGCTGAATCATGTATTTTATGGGATGGGGACATTTCGACGGGATATCAGGGCCGTTGTGGATTAAAGAAATAATGCTAAAATAAAATAAGTAAAACATATAGGAAGGAGAAATTTACAAATCAAGCACAATCTACTCCAATACAATAGTTTATTTTGTTTTAATGCACCAATGGAGAACATCGAAGAAAGGACTTTTTTACATCACTTTATAGTCTATAAATTGTTCAATATCATATTGAACTTTATCATTTTTAGAAAATAGACAACATGTTGCTTGTTTGTAAAAATCTGCTATCTATATGATATATGATATCTAAGATAGGTAAAAATAATGTTCTTCTCTTTTTAAACTTGCATTTAAATTCTCCTGTAAATAAGTGGGCCAGACTTTCCATTAGTTAATCTGAAGGTTTATATATTTTGTCATTTCCTCTCCGCAGGTTTGCCAGGTCACTCAGCAGAACCCAAAAACGGCATGGAGGGTCCCCGAGGTCCCCGCGGGTTCCCCGGCCCGGTCGGCCAGTCCGGCATGCTCGGGGTTGCAGGCGTGCCAGGTTTCTGCGAGGCGCGGGACTGTAGCATTCACTCGCCGGTGGCACGCAAAGAGCAGGGTCTGGTGAAAGGACCAGTCAGTGAGCAAATGTGAACACGAGCAACGAGCACCTGAGATAATAAAACGCCAAGAGATTCAACCGGTGGCAACTTCGAGGTTCGTCTCATTGAATTCCAGCTGACGTTAGATTTAAGACAATAGTTTAAAAGCTGCGAATGATTCAATCCTCCATTGAAAATGTCAGAGGACCGAGTGTAGTACCCTGTGGCACTCCTGGTAAGAAATATGAAACTGTGCAGGAATGAAACTAGAAAAGACTTTCACAGCTTTGACCAGGAACAACGACGTCTCACGGGTTTGTTTAATTTGATAGCATCGCTAAATGATTCCCCATTGAATCCTTCCTTCAGTTTATTTTCTGTTTCCCTAAGTCACAATAAAAAATAAACAGAAGTAAAAAGGCGCTGTGTAAATATTATGTAAAGTATCTCAACAATGTGTACTGTGCTCTGAAATATGTTTCAGATAAACTGCCTGATGTTTTTTATTCTGAGTCTTCAGTTTGTAGCGTTTGTGCTTTTAATTCTGAAAGATAATATTCCAGAAAAGTGAAGTGACATAAATATATCGGTTCCAGACTTCTGAATCGCTAAATAATCTTCTATTGTGATTACCATACTTCCAAAGTAAACCAGTAATCTGATTATTGTGTGTATGTATTTGAATGTGTTTTGCAAGATGAATTTATCCTTCAGACTTATTAGAACTGTAAACTATTGAAAATATTAAACATTTGTTGAACACGTGAGAAAATAAACTTCAGTTTAAATAAATAATTCAGTTTGTATCCACGTTGACGATCTAGAAGTGAACCAAACAATCCAGATCATTCTAAGGATGTTCTGAATTATAAATATCCTTCACGTCCTCCACACCGAGATATGGTTATCAGCTGTTGGCCGTCACATTTACAACTTAAAACGTTGTAATAAATGTTCAAACGATTGAGCTACAATGTGAAAATAAAAGCTTAGCTGTGGAGATTTCAGAAAATCCCACTTTAAATTAATTTAGATTTTTTTTTCCTCACAAAAAATTGTGCGAAACATTTTCATTGCATTGTAAAGTTAAATAGTTGTATTGTTAGATAACTCTGCTACATGTCATTTAAATGCCTTCAAGAGACACAAATAACAAACATTTCTATATTTCTTAGTAAAACTACTTTATGCTTCAGATCACAAGCTGTGTTTTCACTAAAGATACAAACTTTTTACTGTCGAATTCAAACTAAAATACACAAAACTATAAATCAGAATCTCGTTATTTTAATAAATTATGGGACAGATTGCAAAGAACGTTTTCAAGAAAATACTTTATTGCATTTTGTTAACAAACGACAGAAGAGAAGCAAGAAATCAGGAAGAATTGCACAAACGTTTAAGTTCCTCACTGAAGGAACTTGTGACACATCACAGTATTTACTGATCACAAGTAGTATGATGCTAACAGGACACATTCATCTTTGTCAGTTGATTTAGTTTGTAGGGTGTAAAGATAAAAAAAGTAATTATTCTATGCATGATAACGTGTGAGGAATTTACAGTACAGATAACGTTCAGTTCTGGCTTCACATTCATCAGCAGTCACATTGATACAGAATTACTCAAATAAATAACGTCAACAAACATTCAACCAGCAGCAGATTTTGAACTTTAAGAACTCTTAAAACAAACAAACAAACAAACAAACAAACAAACAACTAATTTCAGTGATTTTTTCTGTGTTCTTACTCGACTCTTTTTAAGAAAAATGTCCCTTTATTGATTTTGTCAGCACGTCTTTAAATGCTGTTTTTATTGGAGCACCTGTCAAATAATCAATACTGTGTAACGCCTCAACAACACCAGCAGAGCAGCGGTCAATAAAGGTCGCAGGATGCTTAATTAATGCCCGACTTTACTGGTGTGACCGGTTTTAAAAGGTCTAAAACAGTCGTGGAGTCGTCGAGAAGCAGGAAAGAGCGTCATCAGAGATTCAATTCTTAAAATTAAAGGCAGAATCTTTGAAATGATTTTAAAAGGACATACAATATTTAAAAATATTAACGTAACAATAAAAAAAACCTCTCACTTCTGACATGTTGTTCTTCTGTTTTTTTTTATTAATTTGCTCAATAAAAGGTGATTCAGCAGTGTTTTTATACCTTTAAATAGTATGATTTTAGTAAATGTATGTCAGTGTGTCATGATGTTGGTTATTTAATACATTCTGCATGTTGTGCAGCTGCATACGAAGGGTTTCAATTATAAGTGTAAAGAAAAAATAAGAGAACTCAGAAAGTCGCTGTCAGATAATGCATTCGACATTTTGTGAAGATACAAAACGATCTCAAATAATTTGACATTCCGAACTATCTTTCAGTGTTTAAGATGGAAGTGGTACTAATATAGTAGATAATGGAGGATATAGTGTTGTGAAAGTCCAAGTAAAGTTCTAGCTTAATGCATGGTTTAGTTTAAAGAATAAAATAGCTTAATAATGGAGCGGACATACACATATAATATGCATAGAATAACACGATACAAATGTCATAAATAATTGTGTGTACGATGTCGGCTCTGTAAATCAAAATCAAAGGGAGAACACTACTTGGGTTTCCAGCTGAGATCAACATGACTGGAGGAGAGTCACAAACAGTGCAGAAGGTTGTTGACCTAATAATCTATAATAATACTTGATCTTTGCAACCGTTTCCCAATCTGGCTTTTGTGCGTGTTGTTTCAAGACTCTCAAACTACCAGTTAGATAAATGAAGATACTATTTCCCTCGTCATATTGTGCTTTACTGGCCTTAAAGCTGCTTTCATTTGTGTTTATACAGTCGGGAACAAAACCTCAGCTCCAAATCAGACGCTCTTTCCTACTTTGACTTTCCTTCAAGTACATTCAGTCTACAGCTCGACCGATAAATCATAAATCAGCATTATTTTTAAAGAATCGTGACCATGACATGTAGAGAGCGCAACTTTTCACAGTGTTTCAAGTTGTCAGTGCTTCCTATTTGACTCCCTTCATTTATTTCTTCACAACGAAACACAGGGAGATTCTGTAAACCGGAATGTGCGAGGAAATTCTGTAGCTTTCACTGACTGGCATCAATAAATCCATCTTATTGATTTTGGCGTCACGAAATGACGTATAAATAACGCTGCCGTCATCTTGCGAGTTCAAATCACGACACTTTTTTTTTTGCTTTTCACGTGTCATTTCACGCAAGTGCTGGATGGAAAACAAACACGTGACTTTCACCCAGGAGACCGCCGTCCGTGTCCCGTGTGAAACAAAAAAACACCCGTTGACTTGAATCAAACTTGCTTATTTTAACCCAAACTATGATCTTTTTTGAAAACATAACCACGTAGTTTAATTTGAGTTCACAACGTTAACCACGTGTTGAAAACCGTGACCATAATGTGACGAGTCGGGAATGAAATGACACTTGAAAAGCTTAAAACGCGTGACGTGACGTGTTATTTATACGCCCTCCAGTGAGATCACGTTGGTTAGCAGCTAACCATAATACCTGGATATCTAACATCGCTAACGTTACGTTGTTAAGTCTCTATTAGCTAAATGTAAACACTCACGGTCCGATTAAATATCCTTTTTCTGATTTCTACCTTCTGTCCTTGAGTGAACTGACCTAAATAGTTTGTACCGTATGGTTTAATAACAGAAATGCCATTTTAAAAGTTAGTACTGTACGACAGCGTATTAGGGCCGTATATATTCTCTCGTAAATTTACGGCTTTGATCTCAGGAATTTTAACCCGTGTCAGTCATTTTGTAAAAATTAATAAATTTTACTCTAATATGCCGTCGTAGTGCTGCCTATTTGAACTATTAAAATCAAACTAATAATGGGAATAGTGATTCCACTAACCTGTTAAAATGTTAATAAACTAATAAAGCTTTGGTCAGTTTGAGTTTGAATGAGGTATCAGAGGCTGCGTTTACTAAGTGCTTTGGTAGTGAGTACATGCCACAGACATGGCGTAATACTTTAGTGTGTAATAACTGACTTTTATACAATTTATATTTTCTTCATTTGCAGAAGAAGTGCTCATAAATATGTTGCTAAACTTATAAATACTTCTCTTTGTGAGTGTCTTAGTAAATGCAGCCCTGAGAGAAGCACCCGTAAAATTATATTAATATGTTTCCCTAAACACATACATGAAGCCTTTCAGTAAACACTGTATGCAGAGTTAACAATAAGATACAAAAACGAATGTGCATTATTTAACCTTTTTGCAGTAGAAAAGAGCAGATAAATATAAAAACTGTACTAAATATATATTAAAAAAACACATTCAGAACACTGTCTGAATGGCTTTGCATGGCAAGGCAGTGAAATGCTTCATAAAATACCTAACTTTTTCAATATTATATATCGTTACTACCACTAAAACATTACTACTTACTAATAAAGTGCAGAGGACGGAAGGCAGAAGCACAGAAATACATCGAACGGAAGAATCCCTGAAACCCATGAATTAGCAGCGTTCCCCCGAAGACACCGGCCATTCTCTCTCTCTCTCCCTGAGTTTGATCGTACCAACTTTGATGACTCAGCAGATCACAGACATCCAGCGATCCCCAAAACCAGCAGCAACAAACCGACCGACCCTGCAGCCAAAATACAAATAATTAAAGAAAAGTGATCAGAATCACACGGTACCCATGAAGCCCATAAAGCAACAACAATGTTCATCACTGGGAAATATTCGCTCATTATTCGAAGAGAGCATTACTGTTGTTCTGACGGAATTATCAGTAATTTCTTAAAAGTGTTGAAGTCACACAAACAAACTAACTGATGGAGGCAGCAGTAGACCAGCAGTAGACCAGCAGCTCCTTTATTCTAAGAGCTAAAGTCTGGTGTCTTTGTAGAGAGCGTAGATAACAGCTCCAGTTCCCTGTTATAAAGGTCTGTCTGACAGCAAAGTAAAGAGGTGAAATATTCCAAATATAGCTGATATGGATTCCTTCAGTTGTCTAAAATACATCCGGTACGTTGCGTTGCTTCAGTGCTGGTGCGTTTCTCTACAATAGTCGTTGTACAGAAGGTCAGTCTGAACAGAAGGTCATCATTCACGTCTTCTGCAGTTCTGATGTTGTTAGTTACTATAAAAGGTACCCTGATCCGCACTTAAACAGAGTTTAATGAAGGGGTTCATTAAAAAACCATCATAATCAGCCTGTTGGTGTATAAAACCAGACTCACCCTGATTTCCAGATGCCACGCTGTTAGAACCAGAGCACGGTTGGCTGTGGAGGTCGATCCTCTTCTCCTCAGTCACCATCAACCCCTGACAATACGGAAGTAAAGTTTATTTATATATATATATATATATATATATATATATATATATATAAATAAACCACATTTCCCTGAGTCAGTTAATTGTCTAACCATTAACTGAGTAAAAGAAACAATATTATTGATGAAACGGTTTATTTGGGGAGAAATTTTAAACAAGACGTTTAGAATAAAGTTATTTTGATGAAATATTTACAATTTTGTCACACATAATGTGTTCAAGGAGTGTCGGAAAGTTGAAAATCTGGCTGTTTTTACAGCTTCTGGATGCAATAAACAAATTATATATATATATATATATTTATATGCAGTATATATTTACACACTACTTTTTTTATTTTACAGTCACTGAGTAGTTCTGAAACACAGATAATATACCGCTACAAATAAAACAAAATGTAAATGAAATATCAGTGTGTGACGCACCTCTGTGTAAACCAGGATCATCTTCACATCAGCACACCGATCCAGCGTCATCCGTCCAGCTTCAATCTTCTTGCACGGAGTGACGCAGTCGTTGCCGTTTGAGTCGGCGATAAGCTGCAAGAAGAAAACACCTCGAATATAAAATCACAAACAGCGAATGATTTACCAGTTTCTATTTCAGAGGAGACACGACAGGTGAACAAGTCCATTCTCACTATGTTTATATTAATAAATGTATAAATGAGTGTGTGAGTGATGAGTGAACAAACCCCTCTGTGTGAACCTTCAGCACACAGAGAGGAATGAACGAGTGAAGTTTAGTGAATGTAAGAGCTGCTGAAGTGGAGATTTATCATCAGAGTCTGAGAACAAACTCATTTAGAGGAAACGTCCTTTAAAGAGACGTTTAGTTCCATTACAGACATTTAGAGACTCTACAGGTGAACACATGAACTCATGATATCACCATGAAACTTCACCACTTCATCACTCACATTAAGAAGACTCTACAGGTGAACACATCAACTCAGATATCACCATGAAACTTCACCACTTCATCACTCACATTAAGAAGACTCTACAGGTGAATAGAGTCACAACATGACCTCATAGATATCACCATGAAACTTCACTACTTCATCACTCACATTAAGAAGACTCTACAGGTGAATAGAGTCACAACATGAACTCATAGATATCACCATGAAACTTCACCACTTCA